AAAATATTTTTGGCTTTGGGAAGGATTTTATGAAGAAATAAATCCTTTGAAGTCTGCTGGTCATGGGCATTATAAAAGATGCTAAGAGAAACAGAGTACAGACAGACCTCTTGAAACAAAATGGTATAAAATAGCTGTGCTGCCAGGCCCCATCAGCAGGTTGCTACTGAGTCACTAAAACCACTGCTGTAATGTTGTGTGTTTCTTGGCACTCTTCTAGCCACATGATGAGGTCAGTTTGTAAAAACGGATTTGATTATTGGCTCAAAATAGTAAAGACCCAGCTGGACCATACCTTGCTTTTCATTCTGGGCTGTCCATGCCATGCTACATGGGTAAAGATCAGGAAGAAACCTATGTGGGAAGAGAGGCCATTAGAGAGCAGAATCACTATAGAAGGTGGAAGTTGTACAACATCTTTTTTGTCTAGGAGAGGCTGGAAAATGTCCAGAGAAGGCAATGAAGCTGTTGAAGGGTCTGGAGTTCAAGTCCTGTGAGGAATGAGGGAGCTGGGGATGTTCAGCCTGGAGAAAAGGAGGCTCAGGGCTGACCTCTGATTGATCACTCCCTACAACTCCCTGAAAGGAGGCTGTATCCAGATGGGGATCTTTCTCTTCTCCCAGGAAACAAGCAATGGCCTCAGGCTGCACCAGGGGAGGTTTAGATTGGATAAAGTGTTGGCAAGCACTGGAACTGGCAGAAGTTGTTGAGACACCATCCCTGGAGGCATTTAAAAGATATGCAGGTGTTGTACTTAGGGACATGGTTTAGTGGCGGACTTGAGTGTTAGGTTAATGGTTGGACATGATGATCCTAAAGGTCTTTTCCAACCTAATGATTCTACAAGAAAATGTCCCAAAAGTGTTTTACCTGTTCTGAAGTTTCACAAGTTCTGTTTTACAGTTTTTCCTGCACCAAATTACCATTCCCTTGTTTCTCAGAGTCAAGTGCTGCTAAATTCCCAGAATTAGTTTAGCTTCTGTGCTATTGTTCTCAATGTTAGACATGTATTTTTGCTTTGGTTGCAGGAACTTGCAACTTGTAGAAACTTTCTTAAATTGTCTGTTCAACTACAGAATATTTAAAATTTGCCTTTAGCAAAGATATAAATTAGGGCAGTGATACTTGATTACTCACATAAGTACTGTAACAGTTGAATATTGACTTTGGGTGAATAACTTCAAAAGCAATATTGTTGTCCCAGGCAACTGGAGCCGAAGGTCTCTTTAACATTTGTATCCTTGGCTTATGGAAATAATTTCAGAAAACTTTTGTTCAGTGCTCTCCTTGGAAAGATGGAACAGGAAACACCATCTGTTCTGAACAAACACAGGCACAGGCAATTCATATACTGCCTTCTCACATAGTTGAATAACCATTTAAACAAAACATTCCCCTTTTGAAAGCATTAATCACATATCTATGTACTTCTAACTAGAGTGTAAATTACTTACAATAAATTCAAATATGCTGAATCAAATATCAAATCCACCATAGCCAAAATTAGTGATGCATTTGTAAGATTAATCCTGTTACTTCAGGGATACCTGTACTCAAAGTGTTTTGGCCCAGCCTTGATATCTGAAAATGCAAAGTGGCAAGTAATATCAGGGGGAAAAACCCAACCACTCTAATGCTTAATAATTTGGGATCTTTTTTTAGTTAAAATATTTCTAATGTACATTTAGAATAATTTCTACACTTTTCTATGTTCCTAACTTTCACAAGGACCTCAATGTAGTATTATAATACATTTATATTTTTAATTAAAATAGGAGAAAAAAGCAGCCCATGCAGAGAAGACCCCAAAATATAGTACAGCTTCACAGCTCTTGGTGTTGAAGCAGTATAAAATTCTAGTAATCAACATTATACCTGTCTGTGCTGCAGCTTAAACAAAGCTGAAAGTTAAGGACAAAAATGTGAAAAGAAAAAGGAAAGCATACCAGCATAGTATAGATTATGATGAGAGAATAGCCATTCTCTTATCCAAAGGGATTCATGACTTAGATCATTAAAATAATATCAATTTTTCAACGTTATAAAATTTATGAAGTATATATACAAGGGCATTTAAAACAAAAATCTTATAATTTTATAAGCAAGCAATAAAGTTTCCTCTAGGTCTTTTACAACACAGGCTTGAAAAGAGCAAGATGACAGTGACATTTGAGTGCACTGTGCATTGCCTTTTACTGTGTCAGATTTATTGAAAGGTGAAGTGAGTAAAAGATTGGAAAATTCCAATAACCAACAGAAGGCAGAAGAATAAGAAGAATCTCATGTAATCTACTTCTCACTTCAGAGCTGTTTTCAGAAAAGAGCTGACAAGAGTGAAACTTCTGCATGGTGTCTGTAAATCCAAGCCATAAGGAACCAGATCAAATTTTTCTTAATTAGCAAAAATCCTTCACCAGAAATGCCAACTGTTCATATCCCCGTCAAGAATATTCTGTTACACAATCAAAGGAAGCATTTTATTAAACACAGAGCAGTCAAAGTTTGTACTTTGTTTCAGTTTCTAAATTTGAGATTGTAACCAATATGTATTAAAACAGATTGATCACCAAGACAAAATCACACTAAGGAAAAGTAGAAGTTTTATTTTAAATTGTTGTTAAACTATGAAAACATGATTGAATCGACTATTGCTTTAATATCTAAAGCTCAGACCTTTCTGATATATAATGCAGCTCTTCTTTATACTGAGTGCTCACTATTAATGATGTCTGTCAAATAAAATGCTAGATTTATAGATCAGTATAGATAGATATTAATAATTCATCTGTTAGGAAAACAAGGATGTAACAACGAGTGGTTTTATTGAGTACATCATACAGCATTAGAAACCATAAGACAAAAACAGATTCCTGTTCTGTGACAGGATAAGGTATCATTGTCAGCACAGATACTACCCTGCCTGCATACTTTGCCCTGAATGATTGCTTTGAAATAAATTTATTATTTTCAATAGCTGTATATCAGTAGCTAGAAAACACATCATTGCAAGTGTCATGCCAGCTGTGAAGCAAATTGTGGCAGGTGCAGGAGGGCAGCCAATGCCATGATCTACACAATGCATCTTGATGACAAACAGTTGTCTCTTCAGTGCTAAAAAGGTGGAATGCTCCTACATCCATGCTGTTCAGAAGGTCAGGTATATTTAGTCTCACATTCAATCTTGTCCAGACATTCTGGATCCTCAAATCGGTGGTGGAAGTTTGTGAAAAATATTTTTATATGTGTATAAATGGGGAATGTCTTGAAAATCCTTACTGGGGTGAGTAGCTCTTATTTATGAAGGACACCATGGAAATCCAGTCCTCTGTTAATTGTAGACTGAGTTTGTATGTGGCATACAGAAAAATGCTCTTTTGCTTTAAGTTGTTTCCTAGTTTTACAATGCTGGCACAGAATGGCAAAATTGCAGGAGAAAAACCTGCTGGTTATAAACTCCTGACTACAGCTTATGGAGGAAGACAAGGAACATTGTGACAAAGCACAAAACTTAACTGAGGAAAATAAAGCAAAACGGTAAAGCACAAAAGGGTATTAAAGCTAAATTAATATAAACACCTCACCCTGAGGTCTTATTTCGTCAGCAAACCATGGATCACAGTAGTGCACACTAAAACATGCCAGCTATGTTTTATTATTTTGTTTTCCATCCCTTCATGTAATTTAAAACATACATCACAACGGCATTGTAATGCAGCCATATATCAAAGAAATAACTTTAAAACATTCTGCCTTCTTCCATCTCTTTCTGGAGAGAGATTATTGTGGAAAGAGGGGAGAAATTTATAACATACATTTCTTCTCCCAAGGAGCAGCAGAAGCAGGGCTGCTCCATGATGGAGGATGAGGCAGGAGTGAGGGTGACCCTAGCAGGGCAGTGTCCTCACCAGCCCCATGGGTGTACTGTCCCACCGGGGCTCAGCTGGACAAACAAAGCCGTGTGCTGCACACCCAGGCACATCCAGGGATGAATCAAATCCAGGGATCATTCAGGGAGCCCAGGCACCCTAGGACTCAGCCAGCCAGAGGCAGCAGGACTCAAAACAAGTGTAGCAATGGCCTTAACCAAGAGACAGGTCAGCAGCTCAGGGCTGGGCTCAGGCAGAGGTGCTGGAGCCCATGGGCTCCAGGAGTGAAGGGTCCCTAACAATAAATTCTGATAGGCATCAAAATAAGCATCAACCAAACATGCAGTCACAAGTGGCATGATGGAGAGGCCCCAAAGCTTCAGAATCTTGCTGAACAAAATGGCTTTTATTGAAGTATTGCTCTAGATTAAGTGTGTCCCCAGCTCTGTGTGGTCAATTAATTCAGAACATCCTAGATTGGCTGACCTATGGTGTGTGGCAGGTGAGGTCTCTGAAAAGAGCCTCCACACTGAATGTGCAGAGTGAGAGCACCAGTCCTGTGGTGGAGGTCTTAGAGATTTGTTCTAAGAATGGAAAACGCTATCTCCACTGAGATGGAGAAGGTATAACAACAAAACTAATTGAAAAACAGTGCAGAGAAGTCTGATGCCTTTTTTGTTCAAAATCTGTGCCTTCAGTGACATGGATATTGCAGCACAGGCATTTCCAAAGTGCAAAATCAACTCTCAGTTTGCTCTTGCACAGACCTCTAAAAGATACATTCTTTCCATGAGTATGTTAACTTTCAAGGTATTAATCTCAATTTATATGAATATGAAGACTGATAAGTTTAGGTCCTTAAATTTAATTTTCAGTTGTCTTGAGATTACTTATGATTAATTCCTGTTTCAATCTAAGTAAGCCCAGTATTGCACAAGCACATGCAATTAAATATGCAGGGCGCAGTGAGAGCTTCTTTGGCAGAGTGATAACTAACACAGAACAGCACTTGAGCTTTTTATAAGATCCAGTGACACTCCAGCTCCCATTAATATGGTGACCATAACATTAACAGAGAACCAATCACTAATGTCTATTTTCTCCTCTGTGAAGCTGACAAATAGAACAAATTTGCCTTTTCCAGATGCCATCATTTTGCTACTAAACATGATGACCAAAAAATTTCTCATGAACGTGAACCTAGTTTGATTTTGTCCAATATTATTTGTGTGTAAACACCATAGATATTTGACTAATGCAAATATGTGTACAACAGTGCAAATGCATAATTTCTACATTATAAAACCACAGTGATGCTCTTTATCTTACATAAAAATTTCTGACTTGCTTATGACCTGAAAATGCCTTGGCTTTATCCTTTAGACAAGGTGAAGTATAAATTGTACTTCTTGTGCTGTCATTTCACATCTGAGGCTTTTCTCTTCCATTATCACTTTTGTTGTAGCTCTTCACCCACTTTTTTGAAGATATTATGAGCAGTATGGTGGGAGGAATGTTACATAAATGATTCAGGTGACACTTTGTACTAACTAGATGTCACGTTTTTTCAAAGTTGCCTTTTGGGTAGAAGATACTCAGAGAACTGCTGATCTGTTAAACTATCAGGTTTATCCTACTGTAAAAAAAAAGAGAGATTTTAAAAAATTATGAAAAGCTTCAGCTCTATCCTGAAAGCTGTATCAGTCTTGATGACTGGAGTACAGGATTTACTGAATGTGGTTGAATCTGATTGCTAATGAATGGTCTTTTGACTCATCAAAGAAATCTTGGTTCTTACTTGTGACACCAGTGCAAAACAATAATTAAAAGCTAAATACAAAATTAGCATGTAGATGAAACTGCCTTTTTTTTTTTTAAGACATGGTCTGCTCAATACAGACTTGCTGCCACAGCACAGCTATGACAAGAACTGAATTTCTCCTCAATGCTTTTCTAAGTCTTCTGTAAACATGTAAAGGGCTTCTGGCCAAATTCTCCAACATCCCTGCCTACTTTCTTCCTTAAAATTAATGAGAATGAGGTGCTCAAATACCTTTCATTTAAAGTATTGTCTTTGGGAAAAGAAGTGTAAAACCAAATAAAAATTAAAGCAAATTACAGCAAAAGAGAACGACACTTGAAACATGAATATTTAAATGAAAGTCAAGATTCTACTTAGATACAACACATAATGCTGACTATATTCTTAAAGACTTCTGTCAGTGAATTCTGGTAGGAAATAATGAGATTACAAAATGAAACAATAATGCTACAGTAAAAAATAACTTACCCTGTATTGAATACCCAGTCAAGTCTTGATTATCCCACACAGCTTGCTGGGTTGCTCTTTGGTTCATTCTGGCTTGAGTTTATGGGCAAGATTTGGGCCATCCAAACCTATGGGTACCTTTTGATTTTTGAATCATGAGTTGCAATCTGCTGCAGCTTTGTGATTACAGAGAAAATGAGTTATTCATACATGATCAACTTCTTCTTTCTTGATGGTAATGAGGAAACACCTATCAATTCGAACATAAACAGGAAATTAAGAACCAAAGTAATGACTCTTTTGCTAGCAAACATTTTCCTTTCCAATTACACAGGCAAATGAAGGATTACCTCTTAAAGGAATATAAAAGCATAAAAGCATAGGCAATATTTCTATAGAAGTATATAAATAAAAGCTCTAATAAAAATAAAATATGTAGTTTAAAACACCTGAGATTTTATTTTTACATTCAAAACCTTCCTTCCCTCCAAATGAGTTAACTCCTAAATGGTTCAAGTCCCCGTGTCAAAGATACGTGCATTCTTACATATTTTGGAGCCAGATTCCTCAACAAGTTACATTATAAAAATTTTCATTCAAAAGGGGATGAGGAGTAAAACTTAAACATTTATTCATCTGAGCCAAGTAAGAATATGCCTATAAATACAATGAAGAGCATACATTAATATTTGATGATCTAACTTTGTTACATTTAGTAACTATTTTCCAGCAAGATGAAACCGCTGTTGCAATAAGGCAGCTGCAGAATGCAAAGGAAGGAGAAAGAAGAGGCACAAATCTCTGTTTGCAGTAGAAGAATGAAATGCTGTGTCTCTTCTGAAGTGCCTCCACCATGGGCAGCTTCAGCAGATACTGAAGGCATGGGACTGCTGTTTTTGGTGACTTTAGCACATTCAGAAAGAGCTCTTATTTTCATGTATTCATCTGTCCATCCAAAAAGGCATTATTTTTACAAGAAGATATTCTGAAACATCTGCTTGAGCCTACAGGACTGTCAGTAGTTGTCAATCACTGACTATTTTTAACAATTTTGCACTCATTGCTGGGTCCTGAATCTCTGTCTGAGCTTTTTCCTTTTAAAGTAGCCATTCCACCAAAAAGATCTCATGCAATGTAGCATAAATGGTGAATTCATAACTCAAAACATGAGAACATACTCTCCAAATATCACAATTAATAAAATGAAAGTAATGTTTCTTTTTTATTGTGGCTGTTATTAGATTTATATCTACATAAATTCAGAAAATGGGAAACAGTTCTTTATGAATTTACCATGAGCTTTTCAGTGTGAGTGAAGATTTGTAACAAAAAAAACCCCAACACTATTCAAGATATTTGGGGAATCTAGAGGGAGTCTTTCATTATATATGAAGTGTTTTCAGTGTCATAACAAATGCATGCCCCACACCCTCAAAATGAAATGACCTGAGCTCCAGCAGAATAAATAAAACTTGTTTAGAAAAGAATAGGGAGCTGAATAGCAGAAATTTCTCCTTCCCTGACAGCTTTCCCCATTTTAGCACTCCAGTCTAGAATATAATTTTTAGAAGCAATGAAACTAAACTTGACAGAAGCTTAGACTGTGAAAAGTTATAAATAATTTGAACCAATCTAGGAGTTTGCATGCTCATAATTTTTATCACACTTCCATCCTCAAAAATATCATTATACTAGCTACTCTGTATTAAAGTAGTTCATCAGTAGAAGAAGCTGAGTTTAAGTAATATGTATGACATTCATGAGAAGCCATCTGGCTTTTGTAACATCAAGGCAGGATGCCTTTTTGCTGCCTGATCTTCTGAGTGACAGCCCATGTCCTCCTGGCTTCTCAGGGTATCTGCTGGATGTTATTTTAGATCCCGACTCTTCAATCCTCCCCTTCCCAGTTCCAAGCGATTCTTAGTGTTTTTGAGTATACTGGCACAGAAATTATCTTTCAAAACTCTGTATTTCCTTATTCTCTCTCACAGCTCTAGTGAAGGGGCACCTGCTACAGCAGACATTTCTTGCGCTTTGAAATGAAAAGGCTTGAGGAGAGGAAACACCAAACCTGGGGGCACAGCAGGGATTTACACTCAGCCAAGCCAGAATTTGCCATGAACAGCACACCTAAGAGCCACCATGCACACAAAAATCACATCTGTGCTGGCCACTGAGGAGCAGGGATCAGTGCACAGCTGCACAGATTGAAAGCAATGGAAGAAGGCAGGAAAGATTACATTTCTGGTGTGGCTTTGAAGTCCTCTACTCACCAAAAATTATCTGAATTCTTCAGGAATTTTTTTCTCATAACACCACATTGAGGCAAGAACAAAAAATCTGTACTTCTGGTTGAAAGCTCACATCTCACCCTTGAGGCTGCTGACCACTACACACACGACCAAGGATCAGATGTCATCTGACATGATATTATGACTATTGTGATGGATTCTACCTTTGGGACAGCAGGAATGAGCGTACCTACTGCACTGGGCAGGGTTAAGAATCCCTTCCTTCCAGTCTGCTACCTTGGCATAGCCAACTCCACCAGATAGCAGCACAAGCCTGGAAATCTCCTTGGCTTTAGCTTACACTCCTTTTAAACCTGCTTGCTATATCTACACAGACATGCCTTTTAGGAATTGAACACAAAGTCTGTTTTGGCTTGGGGATAAAGAAATTTATGTCTGCATCCATAGCTGGTCATGGGTTAAACTGCCCAAATGTCAGCTGACAACACACATTATCAGTGTGCAAAAAAGTGCTCCCACTTTTCTCTCCACAGTGTGCTGGTCTGTAAAAATTCCAGTAGAATTTAAACATATACCAGATATTTTGATAAGATACATCCTTAGAAAATAATGAAGGATTGCTGGCATTACTGCAGAGGGTGGATTCACACTGTGAGAATTTGTTATTTACAAGTATTTTTACTTTTACTTGCCTCTGGGCTTCAGGAAGGAGAAGGGGAACTGAGGGGGAATTGTAGCCAAGAGGACATGCTGTTTGCAAGCCTTTATTGTCTCTGAAAAATGTATTAAATACTTTGCTTGATAAGTTTCTCCCAGGCACGGAATTACAACAAATGAAAAATGCAATTAATCTTGCCTTTGCCTCCTCCTTCCTTCACCTTTCTTTCTTGGCATTTAGGAAAAGCACATGAACTGAAGCTAATTTTGGTCTTCAGATCTCGCCCAGTAGTTTCAGAATGTCAAAACAAGACTTTATGTTTAGAAACAAGAACAAAGATTAAGGGTTTGTCCATGAACTTTCACTTAGGGTGGACTGGAATCCTTGTCTCTTTATCCTGGGTGGGGAGGGGGGGTTACACTTGGGAAAATATAGGGACTCAAAAAATTGTAACTCTGGCCATCCTGCCTCTTGTCCCACAGGGTAAATTAGCTATAGCAGCCACTCCACAGCCTTTCTGCGCCTCTCGCCAAGCCCATACTGAAAGCCAAACTCCTATTTCATGCATTAGAAATCAAGTATTGTCACAAGAAATGCAGACAGGTGAACTGATGGTTTTGATCCTCTTACAGGGGACCCAGTTCCTAATAAAATACTTGCTTTGGACAGGAGATTTAAAAAAAGAAATCCACTTCCAGACCTACAGAATGCATCATCAGTACTTACTTTGCTAAGACCCTCTCTACAATTTTCAGCAATTGACTGGGCTTTAGACATGATGGAAAATGATGGAATTAAGGAATATTACTGTGGTGAGTGCTTCTCTGTAAACCAATTTATACGAATTGAGAAGTGACAGGCCCTTCAATAACTTTTGAAATTTCTATTTACTATCACTTCTCTTCCCCCTGACTCCACACACAGAACTAGACTGGTGCAACTTAAGACTTTATATTTTATTGAAAATATTTTTATAAATTTTTCAACTATATAGATGGGGAATACCACAGAACACCATGTACCTAAGTTATGAAAATTAAAGGGCCTTTGGTCACTTTTTACTGTAGGTTTCATTATTTAATATTTCAGTTCCAGAAAGAAATATCCTATTTTGCAATATCCATATTTTTTTCTCTCCTCTAGAATCTTCCAGCTTGATAAAAACAAGAATTGAAAAATATGTTTTCAACTATTGGAGTACTTATGTTATTTTCTAAAAAACCCAAACCCAAAAAAACAAAAAAACCAAAACAAAACCCAAAAATAAAACAAACAAAAAAAAACCCCAAACACACAAAAGAAATCACAACAACAAAAAAGAAAAGTTAACCCAGCAAACCAAACCTAACCAAAACAGAAAAGATAAAAACCCAACTAAATACCAACTAACCAAACCCATATAATAGTAAATTTCTACATTTCCCCACCAATTTAAATAATTATTATTTTAAGCACTCTCTTGGTAGGTACATATTACAGACATACAGCCCAGCAATGATGCATTGGAATTATGGGGAGAACTCTGGCATCTCCACGCTACCTGAAACTCTCAACTTTGCCCTTGCTCTAACTTCAAACCCTCACAAACACTCTTGGCCTTGGCTTATCTCAGAACACCCAGCCCTGGTGCCCATGAGCAGCTCCTGAGGGAAATCCTTCTGTCACCCAGGCATTCTTTGGCAGCCCCTAGCGCAGCCCAGCTCCCACAGCAGCCTGGGCCATCCCTGCACCCCAGGCACAGCACAGCCCAAGCTCTAGGCTGTGTCAGAGGCTTTGCCAAGGCCACACCTAGGGCACAAACAAGGCCTCAGTGAGCAAACCTTGCAGCTTTCTCTCTTTCAGCAGCCCCAAGTGCTTAGTGTCTCTTGGACAGCCTTGCCCCAGGACCCACAGCAGTGACAAGCAGAGGCCAGTGTCAGGGGAGAGCTCTTACAGGAGCCTGTGCTCTCCTCTGCCAGGCTCCTTCCAGCCCCACACCGAAGCTCTTGACTTTGCAGCTACCCAATTATTTCCTCAGAAACAGGGGCTAGGCTTTGACCAAGCCTTAGCCAAGGAGCAGCACTGTGGTCTGCGCCAACAAGCTGTCTGAGGAGCATGGTTTTTGCAGTCCACAGCTATAGTCGCAGTCATGAGTAAAATCTATGTATTGTATAAGTGGCCTTGCCCCGATCCTAGTTGTTCTAGATGGGCTGCAGCTGTGATGTCCTTAATTGGGTGGCAGCTGTGGCTAATGAAGATAACTGGGATAAAAGGGGGTGGGCTGGCTGGTTAGGGGGAGCTTTGGAGGAGCCCTTACAAAGAAGGAGGAAGATCACTGCTGTGAAGAGCTGTATGTGAAAAACCACCCAGAAGGTATGGGACTCTAGAAATATGATAACAACAATAAGGGAACAACACACAGTGTCCTTTGGCTCTCCTGTTAATCCAGCACCACTTGGAGCTCTAGGCTTGCTCTCTCTCCCTGCCTTAACCCTGATCCTGTGCTTCAGCAGTGTCTCCCTGAAATTCTCATCCATGGACCAAGTTCTAAGAGGAGCAGGAGTGGTGCTTGTGAAAGCAGTGGTGTTTGTTTTCATTAACAATATGTTTCATTTAATGCACAGTGCTATAGATAAGTTATAACTGCATATTTTTAATCTAGGAAATTACCCTGGAAGAATATTTTAGCAGGTTTTTTTTTTTTTTTCTGGAGTGGCTTAAATTACAGGAGCTGCTTTGCCTTGGGGATGCTAATATTTCATACTTGTATTAAAATATGGATAAGGTGAAATAGTATTTCATTGTTAAAACTGTATTTAATTTAGATTAAATTTAATAATTGGTGGAAAATGTTAATTATTCTCATTTTATGTGTGGTTGCTTTATGGCATATTAATATACCAGAAGTACATCCACAGCCTACAACTGAAATCTAAGGTCATACAAATACAAAATTACATAAAGAATTTACACTATGAAATAGATGTAGAAAAGAATCCCTGTTACACTTATTTCTCTAGTGGGGAAAGTAAGCAAAAAATATCAAAGTCAGAGCTTAAAAAAGGAGAGGTAGGTGTCTAAACAGGGCCTGAAGCAAATTTTGCACAAAGCTGGAGTTACTGTCCTGCAGTCTCCAGTCCACCTGGATATCTAACCCAGAATCATTCTGATCCTGCTGTTCCAGATATCTGGCCATAAAATATCCTTAACACCTAAAAGTTTTTCTTTCAGACACACAAAGAAGAATCATACTTTTAAGAGTCCTGTGGTGCCAGATGATCACTGCATGTCCAAATTAAGGCACAGAAAGTAGAAACCCCTCATGAAGAAAACAGCCTTCAAGCTCCCATCTGGTCATTCATTAGGCATTAGACCCTGCTCAAAGGACCACTCTTTTACTCTGTCCCATGGATAATAGAACAGAATTGAATTTCTGGCACCTTCCACACACTGAAGTGCTATTCTTCTTTCAAATCTGTTCCAAGGCTTGATGTTAGTAATGAAATTACTCTTTCAAGGCTGATTTAAATATACAATTCCGAGGCTGAGCTGCCAACATTTGATTGCCTTCGGAAATAAAGGTTTTATGCAGAAGTTTTAGTGTGATTTGCTGTAATTATTGTCAGCAGAAAATGCCACAGATGTCTCAGTGTTACATGTTTGGAAAAGAATTGTTGGAGAAAGAAAGTTTGGGATGAAGCTGTACACAGATCCAGAAGGTTTTTAGCAAAGTTATAGATTTGAGACTATAAAAATATGTTCTTGAGAAGGGTTTATTCTTTCTAAATTTGTGTAGGAGAAAATAGGCAAGTTCTTTGTAGCAGGCATCAAGGCAAATAAGGGGATGACAGTCTTCTGCTCTTCTCTTTCCCACCATGAGGACACCTTTGTTAAAGAAAGTATTACTCCCTCAGTTCTGGTTCTTTTTTCTTTTTTTAACACAAAGGCTGACATGCCTAATACAAAAGACATGTTTCTCCAGATTAAATTATCAGTGCTCCGCCTCTATCCTCTTGTTTGCTAGTGCAGCTTTTGATGCCCTTGTGGTCAGGGTCAGAGCCATCCAAACCCTCAGATCTCAGTTCTGCTTGTGAGATCTTGGCAAGGCTTGGTTTTCTGCCATGAAGTAGAAGATGCACAAAATAGGATCTGACAGATCAACGTGTTTGGAGCTCAAAGTAATACACAGAGCTTGAAACAAACTATTTGTTTGTTTGAAAGAAAAGATTGTTATAGAAATTGTTAAAATGCACATTTCTGAATAAAACTCTATCTGGCATTGTTTAGTTGCAGTCAAAATTTCCCCATTAAGTGAGGAACATGCTTCACTTAATCAGCAATAAAATCTTCCAAAACCATGGTCCTCACAAGGAACATGCATGCTTCATTTTGTGACATCAGAGAACTTTATTTAGGACTGAAACATTACTGCTGGTGAGCCCACATGCAGGCTTTCAACCAAGAAGCGATAAAGCCAGCAGCCACTAAGCTTTGTAAGGATCACTACACTCAGCCAAATCATCGATGAAATGTCAAACCACGATGCAGGTCAGACCTGTGACTGGGTGCTCCCTCTTAGTTTTATTCCTTTCTGGAGAAGGGAGGTTGTGGTGACAAAAACAGCAAATGGGGCAGAAAAGAAGGGTCAATATTGGATCTGCATATACAAAACAAAAAGGAAGGCAATATTAGCAAAAGAAGTCAGTAATGAAAAGCAGAAGGAGCAGTCATTTCCTGATAGGCAAGTGGTATTTTAAGTGGTGGAAGATACATTTTACTTAAGCGATTTCTTTTGATTAGTTTAGGTGGTTACTGAGCATCCTGACTTTTAAAAAATAATGGTTTTGTTGCCTAATTGTCTTAATGAACCATGCAGGGACCCAAATACTGAACTCAAAGGTGCTGGTCCAACCTGAGGATGAGGGAATCAGGTGTTGACAGCTTCAGCTCATTTTAAACCCTTGCAGGAATTGGTAATGGAGGACAGGTCTCCAGAGATGTTTCAGCACATGGTCCTAAAGAAATCTAGTGAGAATGTTGGTGCCTGTTATGTATTTTTATATGTTGAGTTCTAAGTGACTCAGTGTCCTGGTTGTGGAGGTGGGAGAGGAGCTTAGTGTGGTGCAGGTGCATCTAAATTGTTATTCCATCCCACACACATCACCACTGGGGGCTGTGGTTTTGGGATGAAGCTAAGGAAACCACACAAAAAAATTTTGGGGTGGGGAAAATTCAGAGGTAACCACAACTTGACATTGAAAAAAAGAACCCTTTTCTCCTTTTCTTCACCCACCAGAAAAATTCTCTGAAAATTTTCAATTTTATCATAAAATACATGCCTTATGAAATATTTTTTTCTTCCTTTCTCCAATAAAATGTTAGTATTCAATTTTCAGCATATAAATTCTCAAAGAAAATTTTGAATGCCTATTTTTCTATTAGACAAAATGTGTCACTTTCCATTTGGATAATTCACTTGGGCATATCAGAATGATGGAGGAAAAGAGAAACTGTCTTGTATGGGGATAACAAAGGGGAAGAGAGAATAGCTATAGATGCAAAAATTTGGAGTCATGTAAATCATCAGGAATTTGGATTGTTACATAAACTGACAATATATGCTTTCTCTTGGCATAGATAATCATTAATTGTTATTATTCATGCAAGATGAAAAGTCTGCAATAGAGTTGGTGCATGATACCAGCTGTGGGATTTTTTTCCACACTTAGCCAGTCAATACATCTCATCTGTTAAGCCAATCTTGACCATGATATTATCAAAATATATGAAAATTCTTTGAAATATAATGTTTTAGAACTAAAGTGGCACAGGAAATTGAAGGATGCTTATGTGAAACAAGAAAATTGCATCAGGGGATCTTCATAAACTATACATTTGAGCCATTATTCATATCTTCTGAGAAACAAGATTGTCTTGCTTGCTCAATCTAACTGGCCTTCTCCAATACTATTGGATATGCCATATATTTAAGGCAGAGATACAAATTTTGATACACTAATACTGATAAAACTAATTTATATTCCCATTTCCTCCATCAGCCCCTCCAAAAATAAAGAAGATAATTCTCAGCCTCTATCTGCCTTTTCATCCTCTCTGCTCAGCTGCAGTAATGGAGCTAACCCTCATGTCTGCATTGGGGCAGGGATTTTAAATTGGCAGTTAATTCCTACTCTTTAAGTCAATTTATGGTTGGTTTCCTATTATTCTACATATCATGTGAGAGATGCCTATCATGATTAAAGTCTTACTTTTTCTGGTTTACCTCATTATACTAGTGCTATGGTATCTGCATTTTTGCCTGAGCATCATGAAAAGTCAGGATTAAATTGCATATTATAAAGAGAAAAATAACAGAAAATTTGTAAATGAACTTTAAAGCACTCAAGAAAGGATGCTGCTTAGTATTATTCATGAGAAGATCAGTTTCTCTGCCAGAAGGATGCCTCTTTCTTAGCCCATTCTCAGAACTCATTTTGTCTAAAGGTTGCTAGTATACCCTTGCATAGTAAATACAACATTCCTATGTGACTGAAAAGCATAATATCAATTCCTCTAAAAATAAACAGTCAATTTGAAAAAAATATTAACTCAAGATTTGCAACATTTCCATTTCAGAAGTATTTTAGATTTTCTGGAAAAACGTCAGAAACATATTTCTGTGTTTTTCCAGATCTACTTTATTCAATGCATTTTTGCTGAGGTATTGGCAAAGCAGCAGCCTGATTTTAGGCCAGGCTGGTCCAGAGAATGTTCCCAGTCTTGTATCTAAATCCCCTAAACCACAATCTCCCTCTGCAGGACAATCCTACATCTTACAGAGCAAAATTCATATTTATAAATAAACAGGAGTTTTAGAGGGTTTGCATACAGTGAAGATGACATAATCAATCAAGATTTAAATCCAAGCAGTAACACAGTTACCATGAATCTAAAACTGGCAGAAATTTGCAAATGAGTTTTTAAAAAGAAATTTTAAAAATCAATAATCATCTAGTGGACCTGAGAGAAGCTTATTTTTGCTCTACAGCAGATGTATAAACCATTCTGCTCATTACAAAGAAGTTCATCTTATTCTATTAGGTGGTAAGTGGGGTGTTAAAATTTATGTCAAAATATGCAGCAGCATTCTATCTTTGAAACACAAGCCAAATTTACTCTGATTTAAGCTAATGCACATCCCTGAAAATCCATTGGCTGCAAATAAGGCTAGAACTTGGCTTAGCACATTCCCTCTGCATTGATAACAATTTTTATTGGTTAATTTCTTCCATTTTTTAATAGTGTTTGCCTATTATTGCTACAGTTGTTGACTTCAAAGTCCCAGAGAGTAAAATTATTTGTTTACTCCAGACTTCCTTCTGCCCGTTATCCTAACAATGTCTGTTAACTTTTATTGATTAGTGAGACACTAGTAACTGGGTCTGCTAAAATAGCACAGGGAGCTTGGATTCTCCTGTTTCTCTTTTCAGAGTGTTGCGCACCCCCAGCAATTTTTACTCAGTTTGTGATCTCTTTCCTTTAATTTTACCAGAGATTTTTGTGTCACCTCTACTTATATTAATAACCTATTGAAAATTAGAAAATATAGTAAACCCTCATCCCAGAAAACCCTAACCCAATACAGCACCTGACACCAAGAGCCAAATCCGTGAGCAGCCTTAGGCCACCAGCTGACCTTTGTTATGACCACCTTCACCTTGGTGTTCCTCCCAACCAACTTCTCATGGTTTATTGGAGCTCAGGCCCCAGAACTGTGCTGTAGGTGACCCACACCTGGCCTTGTCCTTCGCTGTCCTGACTTGCTGACTGGATTTCCTGGATTAACCTCAAGCCCTATGTTGTGTGTCCAGCCCCATCTCCTGTTGCCCCTGATTGACTTCCAACAATGGAGTTATTTTGCCCACCATAACTGGAACCCTTAATTGACCCTAAGAGCAACCCATCCAGGTCCCCTGATCTTTTGGGACTGCCCTCTTGTGCCCCCCTTGGCTCCCACATCATTCTCTCTCTTGAAGCTCTTGCTGACATTTGGTATCCTTACATCTAAATCTTGAGCTTTGACCCAGGAACTGAGCCCTTAAAGGAGAGCATTTACAGAGGGCAGCATGTTTGGGTAGAAGCTATCCCATGCTGACCACAGGGAATTATTAGGAAAAGTGACATAGAAAACTGGTAGGTACTCCTGTAGTTCTTACTGCTTATGCCACGTAGGAGGCAAACTGGGACAGATCAGAGTCATCCCAGGCCATTATTTTGTCTCCTTCGGTGCCAAAAAATAGACGTTCAGAAAAACATTCCAAAACCAGCACATATCAAAAGATTCCTTCTTTCTTCTGCAAGTATATAGGTGTAGAAACATCTGAGACAAGGAGACATCAAGTTTCTGCATATAATCACCCCAAGTGGACATGCCCTCTGTAACCTTTTGAATCCATTTATAGGGTAGATCTCTACAACATCCCACAGTAATGAGTGCCACTATGACATTCTCCATTGTGTGGAAAAGTGCATCCCTTCATGGCAGGCCCACTGCATGGATATTTTCTGCTTCTTGCACCAGCAGATCAGAAACCAAAACTCAAGCGAAGCCACAAGAAAACTCAAGGCAAAGCAGATCAAGGGGAAAAAAGAAGCAGCAAGCACAGGTGGCAATTCTCAAGCTGCAAAGTAGACAAACAGCATAATGTGTGTCCTCTTCCACTTTTTATATCTGAGACAACCTGACAACACCTTCCAGAAAATAAACTGCACACAGCTCCTGAGCCTAAATAAGCCACAGCTCTGGGCACGTGCAGGCCCAAGCCCCTTGTTTTTTCCTTTTCGGCCGAATCCAAGTGACAAGAGTTCAAATCTGGATGTGCTTTATTTGGGCACGAGGTAAACACTGGAGCCAGGGAGAGTTCCTGGGTGAAGTCAGCATAAATGCAAGGCATGCCTTCCCACGGAGCATGCTTTTTTGTCAGAGCAGTAAAACAACAAACAGCGCCGCGAGAAATAACAAGAAATAAAATACTTTGTGTTCTAATCTACCACAAATGTTTATCTAGCAAATACATAGTTCAAGTGCCTGAACTATCCAGATTGATTTAATTTTTTTTTTAAAAAATCTGCTGTGCTGACCATGTTCTGGGTGGAGGGGGGGTGGGGGCAGGTTTATTACAATCCCTGGCACGTCGCTTCCCTGGCTGCACAGCAGAGCTTTCAAAGAGAGCTCTAAAGACCCTGCTTCACTGGGAGGAGCAGCCTGCTCACAGTGCCCAGGCTGCAGAGCTCACATCACGAAGCAAACAGGAGCGCCTGTCCTTCATGCAGGGCTTTAGTATTTATTTCTTTGGAGGTCTAGTCACGAAGGTTGCTGGAAAATGCTCACTCTGATGAAAAATATTTTCCCTGTTCAGCCATTTTCACTTCAGTTCACAGTCACGATGTGACAGGCTCAGTTAGCTTTAGAGAGTAGCTGGTGGCATTTCAGCAACTGCTGGCTGTCAGTCCACGCTCACCTATTGACACCTGCTTGCAGATTTACTTTGAAGTGAGCAGACAGGTTAAAATGACTATCAAAGAGAAATCAAAAATTCTGCACTCTTAATTATCAGGTTTTTCAGTGAAGACTTCTCAAGGGTGCGAACAATATTTCTTCTTTAATCTAAAATATACCATTTTTTTCTCTAATCTGAAGAATAGTCTCCCTGATGCTAAATGTCATTTAGCACATTAGTAATGGATTTTATCTGCACATATCTCATGTTTAACTATTTTTCTCTTAGTAAATATTACCTAGTTAGCCAGAAGACTTGAAGACAGTCTGTTGTCAAAAAATGCTTTACTAAAACCAATGGAATATAAACGATTATAAAAGTATGAAGACATATCTCTCCCCACTTACAGCAAATTTTTTAGTTAAATAATTCATTCAAAAATACATTTGCCTCCATTTCCTCTTAAAAACTTAGCTATTTTCCCTTGCAGGAGGAGAACTAAATCCTTCATAATAACCCTGTGAATTGCTTACTCAGAATGCTGATGTCTTTATGTTCTGCATTTTTATAGGCCAAATTCCTGCTTTAGCTCTCTGTTCCTGTGGCATTCTGTACAGTCAGGGCTGTTGAATTATTTCAAGTCTGCAAGGAATAATAATGTCTTGGATTAGTGTTCTGCTGATATTTAACCTTAAAGGCTGTGTTTCTGAGAAAACACTGATATCATCCTCCTCCCCCCCAATACAGGGTGCTTCTTTTATTGGCATAACAAAGCAGTAAAAGATAAAACAACAGACAAAATCTGCAGTTTTTATATCTGACTTCTCTGCCTCAGCTCTGATTTCACCCACACAAGTCTACTGTCAGCACTATTTTGTCCTCTGATAAGGCCTAACAGCACCCAGTTTTTTCCTACAGACTTGGGAAAAAAAAAACCCCAGACTGTTGATTCAGTGTATATTATTATTTAAATGTTTTTGTCACTAAAAAAAAAGAAGCCATAGAAAATGGTAGCTTATAGTTTTATCAATTTTTTAAAATTCTACTTGCCATTTTCTTCAGAGGTCAACAACATAAACTAAAACACCTTAACGTATTTCATCATTGTAATCTCCAGATCAACAGGTAGGCCAGAATGATTTTATTTATTTCTCTGCTAGATTAAAAAGGCAACATCCTACCTTGAAATGCTAAAAGTAATGCAATAAATCAAAGACCAAAATTATAATAATCGTAATTCAACTTCTCTGAAGATGAGAGGCATGAGCTGTCTGAAGTTCTTGACTGAAAGAATGGGATTCGTCTGTAACTTTGTGCTGTAGTGCAAGCACAGATGGCAAATAACTACCACACAGCTGCTCCCTCACCTCCCCTCACCCCCATGTAGGATGTGAAGAAGAATTGGGGGAAAAAAAGGTAAACAAGGTAAAAGAACAAATAAATTATGGAAATGAACTAAAATAAACTCCTACTCATAGCAACAACAACATTAATAACTGCAATGACAGGAGACAGAGAGAGGGAGAGAATTCACCCCAAGACAAACAAGTGATGCACAGCACAGTTGTGCACACAACTCCCCCCAGTTTAGATACTGGGCACGATGCTCTGTGGTTTGGAATATCCCTTTGTTCAGATCAAACAGATTTAGATCAGCTGTCCTGGCTGTGTGCCCTCCCAGCTTCTTGTGCACCTCTGCACTGGCAGAGCATGGGAAACTGAAAGGCCCTTGACACAGAGCAAGCACTACTCAGCAAGAACCAAAACATCAGGGTGTTATCAACACTGTTCTCATACTAAATCCAAAACACAGCAATGTACCAGCTTCTAAGAGCAAAATTGTCCCAGCTAAAATCAGGACACCTAGTTTAATGCAATTCTAAATCTGGTCTTTCTCTGATTTTGCCCTATCTCAATGGTTTTATTTATGCTGAGAGTCCACTTATATGTGAAATGAAGCAGCCTTATTACAAATAAGTCTCAGTTTCAGCAGCCTTTGAGAGACAAAATTGTGTATCAGCCATAACCCAGGTATGTCTGCAGAGCCATCAGGAAACATCCATCTGCATTCAGTTCAAGCACACACCTCCATGAAGGCCTTTATTTGCAGGGCTTCAGACTCCCATGCATATTTATTCTTGGCCATTCCTGAAACCATTTCCTAGAATGTCCAAAAGATCACAGTAATTTGCTAATCCTGGCAGAAATTTGCACCCAGAGAGCTCCACAGGGTCCTGAATTTTAATACTGATGTCTATCTGCAGTACTAGCAGGCACTCAGGAAAGCCTATGGAATCTGCAAGGCTCCTGATTTTTTTTTTTTGGCCACCTTTGTCAGATTTACATATTAGTGTAGCAATTCTTGAGATAAAATGTTTGCATGTACCACTCAACTGGTAGTAAAAACAGGGCAGATGGCCTGATGGACTTTGGAGCATCTCATGCTCAGGAGACACAGATTTGATGCTACAAGCATCAAACTGGATTCTACATGCAGGACAAGCACTCTGGCCTGGAGTATTTTCTAGTAGTCCTAAAGGATTAAAGCTGGATACACACTTGAAGAGAACAAAGGATTTTCTTCACGTTAACAGCTGAAAATAAGAAAAGTGTTCTAGAGCTGAAGAGCTGGTAAATCTGCCATAAGTTACGGGTTTCACCTCACTCAAGACAAGCACAGAAGCCACACCATTAAATCCTTATGATAAGTCATAATTTAGGCTAGTTTCTGCATGTTGGCTCTTAGCAGATGCTATAAAACTTTCAAATACTAGCTAGCATGAAAGTTAATTTCAAGAATAATCCATGTTGAACAAGTTATTTTCATTGGTTGTTTTATCTTCGCATTTCATCAGCTGAGATAGCTAAGACATGCAAAGTAATACAGCCTCAGTTTCTAGAAACCTGAAAATTCCAATAATGTTTAAACTGCAGCCCCTAAATGATAAAATTATGGAATGGTTTGTGTTGGAAGGAACCTTAAAGATCATCTAGATCCAAGCCCCCTGGCATGGGCAGGAGCACCTTTCACCAGATTCAAAGCTTCATCCAGACTGGTCTTGAACCAGGGACATTTCTATGGACACCACCATTTCTATGGACAACCTGTTCCTGTGCCTCCCCACCCTTCTCTACATCTAAACCTACTCTAGTCCAGTTTGAAGCCATTCCCCCTGGTCCTGTCACTGCATGCCCTTACAGAAAGTCCCTCTTCAGCTTAGTTGTAGCCCCCTTTAGGCACTGGAAGGTGCTGTAAGGTGTCCCCAGAGCCTTCACTTCTCCAGGCTCGGGAGTCTTAGCCTGTCTCCATAGGAGAGGTGCTCCAGTTCTTGCATCGTGAAGACCAGGTAATATCACAGAGGAATTAATCTTAGATCAGAAGTATCAGCCCTTTGAGGCGTCATGAAAGAGAAGTGTTGAATTTTGACAGAGCTCTGCAAGCACTGGAGAGGCAGAGCTGCTCTCCTGGCAGGTGTTTGAGCTGCCCAGCTCTAGGGCACCCCAGGCTCACAGTGCTCCCTGCCATGTCAGTCTCCCATCACTGACCACCTCAGATTTGTTTTCCAGCGTAAACACCACCAAAATCAGATCTCCTGATCTGAGCAGCAGAACTGGAGTTCTGCTAATTCTTCCTTTTCACATTTGTACATATTCTGTGAGAATGTATGTAAAGCAACATTAAAAGTGTAGATATTTTCTTTTATGTTTTAGAACGGATCAGAGTCCATCAAAATAAAGTCTATTTCCTCATGTTTTGTTAGAACTTCAATAAATTTTCATTAGTTCAATATCACTTCGATATGTCTGAAATGCCAAAAAAACCAAGATATTTGCAAATTGTCAGGGTAATCGAGATTATTATTAAAGATTATGGGGGGTTTATGTAAACTATGTTTTATCACCTCAAAAAGATGATATGTATGTCTTCTGAATCTCCCAGATTTATAGAATAAGGTGATTAGAGCTGCCTAGATTCCAGACTAGTGAGAGGCTGGGAACTGAATCACAGAGAAAAAACACACATTGTGCATTGACAGCTATTCATGATTGTTGTTATTTCCAGCTGGAAATAACTCTTGAAGAATCAGCATAGCATTCCCTTACAGGAATTGTTTGTGCCCAAATTATATTTGATCACACAGACCAAAGAAGAGCAGATTTTTGTTTCTTTTCTCAGGCATTGAACCCAAATAAGTGTTGATGAATAGTTTTGTTTGTATTCCTAATAAATCTATACTTCAGGGCTGAAAAAAAATTGCTGCAAACCACATTATATGGACACAAATGAAATAAAAATGCAGAGGGGTGACAGAAATAAATTCTTTGCTGTAAGAATTTAAATATTCATTGGAAAGAGAAAGCAACAGATTTACCTTGTGTGCTTGTCCAGCTGTGGGTTCCCCAGGACACTGGATGGAGGGTGACAGAAAGGGCCACCAAGACAGCCTGGGGCCTCTGGGGCTCC